GGTGTGGGTAACAAGTGAGGGCAAGGGTATTGATTGCACAGGTAAGGAAAGTCAAGACAAGGTGTTCAGGTATAAGGTAACCCAATAGGAGCTAAAAGTGTGCACTAATGGTGACTGCTCCTAAGTAAAACCTAAGGGAAGGAAATACTGTAGAAGGGAAGTAAATACAAAGTAGTCACTCTAGGCACTTTATACTAGCTAAACCCTCTTGGAAATGGAAGGGACAGGACAGACAGGCAGTAGGAATATGTAAAGACATGTAATAAGGCTGCAACACTTGTTACAACACACGAGGCAAGGCAAAATACATACCAATGAGGTAGGATGGGCAATGGACTGATGCAGGACACCTGTAAGGTAGTCCGAAGGTGTGGGAAATCGACTGCAGGTATGCACGCAGTGTGGGAGTGAATGTGTGGGTCCGCAGAGCGTGGGAATACGCATCCAGAGCAGGTTGAGTGCAGGAAAAGTGGTCGATGGTTTTGTAGCTTTCCATCACCTATATCAAAAGATGGCCATTGCAAGCCTAGTGGGAATATGATTGTCACACCATGTTACTGAATTCAATAAAGGGACATGAGCTTGTCAGTATCTCTGTTGCATCCATGGATGTTGCAAAGGAGAAAATCAACTTGCTAAGTGAGGAATCTGATGATATGGACATCTGATCAGAATCAGAATCAGAATCATCACTATCATCTGAGTCTTTGAGTTCTTCCATGGCAGGTTTGATGAGTTCAAAGTAGCGAGCATATTGGAGATTGAACTGCTTAGCATGCAGTGCTTGCAAGATCTGTTGTTGGGCTGATGTGCAAGGCATGATGTTTATTATCATGATCACTTGTAATAGAACTGATACCTAAGATCATATTCTGGCAGAGCTTGAATACCTTTAGAAGTTTCTTTTTGTTGGATGTTTCTAACAGTTCATAAATTTAACTTTGAGACCCACTAATGCTCATCTGCAAGAAAAGAGAGATTGGGGCATGAAAGACAGAAATTTGTGAAATGAAAAAAATGAAAATGGAGAAAAGACAATGAAAGATGGGAGATGGGAGGAGATGGGAGACAGGAGGCAGGAGATGGGGGGAGAGAGAAGATGGGAGACATGAGGTGGGAGACAGGAGGCGGGAGGCGGGAGGCGGGAGGCGGGAGGCGGGAGGTGGGAGGCGGGAGGCGGGAGGCAGGAGGCGGGAGGCGGGAGAATTGATTTATATTCTCTACTTTTATTTTGTCCATGATTATGAGGACACAGCCAAAACCAGGAAGACAGGGGAAAGAAGAGGATAGATGGTCAAATAGTAAAATTAAATTGATTTATATTGTCTACTTTGTTGATGTGTGGTAGATTATACATGCTAGCAAAAAACTAGCTCAGTAGTGTATCAACACAATACTTAGGTACCTGGATGATATGAGAGCACTTGTGTTATACTATGAACAATTAGCCAAGGTGTTCAAGAGGATTGTTGTGCAGAGATGTCATATGGTATCAAATGTGACTCAAGATAGCATCCAAGATCAGTTGTTGAGTAGCCAACAGATTGTACTTGAAATGTGTGAAAGTGCTGCTCAAAAATGTATTATTATCATCATTATTGATTTATTTCAAGATCCATTATGCTGATGATTCAGTCAAGGTGCTGCATGTATCTCCCAAAGGAGCACAAAGTGCTCCTTTGCCTTACTGTACCAAAGGCACAGTAACTATGAATATTAGGATGAAGCCAAAAAGGAGCGCAAAGCACTCCTATTGCTTCCTGTGCTGAAGGCACAACAGGTGTTGGACTAGTGAAAATTAAAAGGGTAATGGGAGAACAGTAAATGGCAGAAAAATGTCACTAAGTCTAACATTCTCTAGGGGGGGTCCAATCTGGGCATTTCTGAACATGTCAAAAATGCGCAGAACAGGGGGGGTCCAATCTGGGCATTTCTCAACATGTCAAAAATGCGCAGAACAGGGGGGGTCGGATCTGGGCATTTCTGAGCATGTCAAAAATGCGCAGAACAGGGAGGGTCCAATTTGGGCATTTCTCAACATGTCAAAAATGCGCAGAACAGGGGAGGTTGGATCTGGGCATTTCTCAACATGTCAAAAATGCGCAGAACAGGGGAGGTCCAATCTGGGCATTTCTCAACATGTCAAAAATGCGCAGAACAGGGGAGGTCCAATCTGGGCATTTCTCAACATGTCAAAAATGCGCAGAACAGGGGGGGTCCAATCTGGGCAGTTCTGAACATGTCAAAATGAGAAATGCCTAGTTGGGACCTCTCCTGTTCTGCGCATTTTTGACATGTTGAAAAATGCCCAGATCCGACCTCCCCTGTTCTGCGCATTTTTGACACATTGAGAAATGCCCAGATCTGACCTCCCCTGTTCTGCGCATTTTTGACATGTTCAGAAATGCCCAGATCCGACCCCCCCCTGTTCTGGGCATTTTTGACATGTTGAGAAATGCCCAGATCTGACCTCCCCTGTTCTGCGCATTTTTGACATGTTCAGAAATGCCCAGATTGTGCTCTTTTGGCTAGCCATAACCTGGGTGTAACCAATACCAGGTTACAAATGTGCCCTTAGAATGGCTTGATTTTGGTTGATGTGAGGGGCAGGCTTAGGCGAAAATGTTGTTCAGACTTGGGTTCATTTTGGATGATTTCTGCTATTTTTTTGGTATTGTGTTGGTTGATTTTGCCTGAGTTATTGCTGTTGTATTGCTTGTCTTGCTGGGGTATTGTATTGTGGTGTATTGTAGCGTGTTGCTAAGCTATCTAACCGAGAAGCGAGACACCAAGAGAATACGTTTTTATACGAGACGACGAGAGAGCTAACGGGTGGGTGGGTGGGGACGGTCTAACATATGATTGCCCTGCTTATCCTTATCCTTATCCTTGACTATCGTATTGTTATCGTAAGTTATCGTATCGTAGTCTATCGCGTTTCTTATCCTTGTCTTGACTATGGTATCGTGTTTCTTATCCTTGACTTGCTTATCGTATCGTAGTCTTGACTATCGCGTTTCTTATCCTTGACTTGCTTATCGTATCGTAGTCTTGACCATCGTGATCCTTATCCTTGTCTTTTGCTTGTTTTCTTGATTTTTTGCTATCGTAGTCTTGACTATCGTATTCCTTATCCTTATCCTTATGGCCCGGGTCGAATCCTCGTTCAGACTTTGCTTGACTTTGCTTGATTTTTGCATTTTTATCGGAGTAGTTCCCACGGTTGAATTGCTTTCATAATGCCCAGATTCAACCTCCCCTGTTCTGGGCATTTTTGACATGTTGAGAAATGCCCAGATCTGACCCCCCCCTGTTCTGGGCATTTTTGACATGTTGAGAAATGCCCAGAATTGACCTCCCCTGTTCTGGGCATTTTTGACATGTTGAGAAATGCCCAGATCCAACCCCCCCCTGTTCTGGGCATTTTTGACACATTGAGAAATGCCCAGATCTGACCTCCCCTGTTCTGCGCATTTTTGACATGTTCAGAAATGCCCAGATCCAACCCCCCCCTGTTCTGGGCATTTTTGACATGTTGAGAAATGCCCAGATTGTGCTCTTTTGGCTAGCCATAACCTGGGTGTAACCAATACCAGGTTACAAATGTGCCCTTAGAATTGACCTCCCCTGTTCTGGGCATTTTTGACATGTTGAGAAATGCCCAGATCCGACCCCCCCCTGTTCTGGGCATTTTTGACACATTGAGAAATGCCCAGATCTGACCTCCCCTGTTCTGCGCATTTTTGACATGTTCAGAAATGCCCAGATCCAACCCCCCCCTGTTCTGGGCATTTTTGACATGTTGAGAAATGCCCAGATTGTGCTCTTTTGGCTAGCCATAACCTGGGTGTAACCAATACCAGGTTACAAATGTGCCCTTAGAATCGTAGTCTTGACCGTCGTGATCCTTATCCTTGTCTTTTGCTTGTTTTCTTGATTTTTTGCTATCGTAGTCTTGACTATCGTATTCCTTATCCTTATCCTTATGGCCCGGGTCGAATCCTCGTTCAGACTTTGCTTGATTTTGCTTGATTTTTGCATTTTTATCGGAGTAGTTCCCACGGTTGAGTTGCTTTGTTGAACCCTTCGATTTCGAGTATTTTGCTTATAATTCATTAGGATCTTATCCTATTGATGTCATTAGACTATGGATAGACTCCCCTTGACGAGGGCTACGACATTGGTTTTCATCAATTAGTTGATCAGGTATTAGCTTACATAATGTCTTTGTCTTGTCATGGAGTCAAGCCTCCGATGGAACTGTTCCAGTGGAGATCATTGTTGTCCACACCCTGGTACTCTGTGACCCTCCAGTGGAACGGTTCCAGTGGAGATCATTGTTGTCGATACCCTGGTACTCTGTGACCCTCCAGTGGAACGGTTCCAGTGGAGATCATTGTTGTCGATACCCTGGTACTCTGTGACCCTCCAGTGGAATGGTTCCAGTAGAGATCATTGTTGTCGATACCCTGGTACTCTGTGACCCTCCAGTGGAACAGTTCCAGTGGAGGATTATATTTGTGAAATGTCTTGAAACGACCCCTTCTTAACCACGACCCATATAGAAAAGTGCTATATAATGCCCAGATTCAACCTCCCCTGTTCTGGGCATTTTTGACATGTTGAGAAATGCCCAGATCTGACCCCCCCCTGTTCTGGGCATTTTTGACATGTTGAGAAATGCCCAGATCTGACCTCCCCTGTTCTGCGCATTTTTGACATGTTCAGAAATGCCCAGATTGTGCTCTTTTGGCTAGCCATAACCTGGGTGTAACCAATACCAGGTTACAAATGTGCCCTTAGAATATCTACAGGGTGTTGGTTTCACACAAATCCGACATTTGGAAATTTGCGTGATATGGGAGTTCAGAAGTGTGACATGTATATACCTACAGGGTGGTTTCACACAAATCTGACATTTGGAAATTTGCGTGATATGGGGGGTCAGGTATGCCATGTATATATTTGCAGGGTGTTGGTTTCATGCAAATCTGACATTTGGAAATTTGTGTGATATGAAGGGGTCATATTGACTTAATGTTGGTTTCACACAAATCCGACATTTGGAAATTTGCGTGATATCAGGGTCCTGGACACACCATAACCAAGGTGTAACCATAATGGACTTGCAGAAACATGCTTAGAATGTTATGAGAGCATGGCACCAGACACTACGTCCCTTTGTACCAATGCAGATCCCAAATTCCTGGACTCTGAATTTCCAGATCTAAGTTTCCATACCCGTCTTATTATACCTGCATTGAGACATCGTCAACATGTCGTTTCACTCACCTCTATCAACAACATCCGATACCCAATGAACGTGTATCGAGGAAATCGTCTCTGGAGACCTGATGGAGTAGAAGACGAACAATTGATCCTGGCTGAACATTATATTCAGATGTCGCGCGCGTTTCCAGAAGGCACCTTTCCCTTCGAGATTGAGTAACCCAGGACGACATTGTGCGGGCTGGGCTGGATGATGGGAATAAGCTATATGTTTGAGAGGAGTCAGAAATGGAAGTTGGAGACAGTACTCAAAATATGCGATATGGTTCGTTATCATGGACACTGGCGGCGTTCGCCACTGCAAAGTTGAAACTGAACCTTCAATGCGTGCTGTCACGGCGGGCACTGCTGGCAGTGTGTAGGTGCGAGTCCTGTAAAAATCGTGCTAGAACTCCTCGGGCAACACAGGTGCTGGGGCCTCAGGCTGACAGTGTCGAAAGATCTGTCGTGTGGAAATCTTGGTACTACACATCAATGTACCTCTGGGTAGGTACTTGGAGTTGTCCTCAATTAAGCATGTATGTGTGTAACGTCGACAGAAAATCCAATACAAGGGTGTGTGCGTATGCTAAAGAGATCGCGCAGATGCGTTGGGGTAAACAAGGGAAAATTGGAAAGACTCGATGCGCATGCGTATGTATTACTACATAAGATGATGCAGAATGAAGTGGGAAATGAAATGTGAACTGAAAACACAACCAGAAACAAAATCACCTAGAAAACGTAGATTTGACTCGATATCAAATGCCAAAGGGGGAAAAAGCAACCGTCCGCCAAATCCCAACACAGAGAAACTTAATCCAGGGGTACCAAAAAACTCGCCAATGCCCAGCCCACTTCTCCCCTAACTTTCGCATCTCTGCCTCCTCCCTCCGCATCAGCAAGCTCCCGAACTAGTAACAGACAATCCTCCCCGTCATCCACATATAACGGTAAATCCGGATGCGTGCTGGGGTGCCCGTACTCCCTGAGCACATCAAACGTATCTCCAGATCGCAGCTCGAAGAACGGTAAACCCCGATACGAAACTCCCGCGGGTGGAATACACATGTGTATCGCAGCGCATTGGTAGAGCGCGCGCAGCCCTTGCAAGTCAGTGGTACGTCGAGTGGGGGTATGTGGTGAGTGTGTTCGGGTTGGCGTAATTGGCATTTGGTATGCAGGCAGCGCACTATCTGTGGTATAATAACTTGGTGCCAGTGAGCTCGGAGCCCCGAGGCTCTTGACAGAACTGGATCGTGTCCTGTGGTGTGACGGCCGCAATGTATCTGTGATCTTACTCTTTAGGCTCGGCCGTCTCTGCGAGCCACGCCCCCGGCCTCTGTCGTTGTCTTCCTGCTCCTCGTCAAACATGGCGAATGACGACGGGCTTGGTGGGGGATCAAGTACAAAGGGTATATTGCTGAGTATCGGCCCAGGCAGACTCTTCATTCGTGTGGGCTTGAGGCGCGGTGGAGAGGCGCTATTGCGAGACTGTGATGGCGGCTGTAGGGCAGAAGGCATAGGTGGTACATCCTCGATTCCTCTCCCAGCACTCGTACCGAGACCGGGGTTATTCTTGTATGACTTGCCCAACTTCCCAGATTTACCAGAACGCAGTGACTCATCGGAGGGTTTGCGGAGAATAGGACCGGTGGGAATATTGTTCGTACTCCCACTGCGTCGTCGACCAGTCATATCGTAAGAGTTGGAGTGCGAGGGTGGCGTGCGCGATGATGGGTTAAACGAGGAAGACAACGATTGTGAACTGCAGTGGTCATAGGAGTTTTGAGGATTGCGAGGCTCGTAAAAACTTTGCGAATTACGAGGGTCGTAGGAATTCTGTGAGCTGCGAGAGTCATTCATTCGGTAGAGTGTGTCGTATGATCCAGAACCAGACGAATGACGCGCATCATACTCCTTCTCCCGCGCATACTTCGTTTCATCCCTCCTAGACCGACCCTCATATGACTCCTTGGACGCATATCGGGTATCGTACGACCCCTGGTGCTGATGCTGCTGCTGCCTTGGGCGCGTAGGTGATACCTGCGGATCGAGAGGGCCAAGTGCGGCAGCAAGGTTTGCTGATTTTGCACCTTGCGGTGGTGAAGTACGATGTTGCACGTGCTGCGGTATTTGGTACTGTGGAATCACAGGACGCAGCCGCTCCATCTTCTTGGGCGGATTGACAACCGCTAACGACCCAAGCACGCCCAACACATCGCCCCATCGTTCGCGCCAGACACGAACTGTCTCGCCTCCACCCGCTGGTCGGTCCGCGTGCTCCATACTGTTTCTTGTTACTCCCGCACCTCCATCTCCAAGGCCTTCTCCCTCTACCCGCAGCGCATCCCACAACTCTCCCCACCGCTCTCTTACAACTCCCCAAAATGCTTCCATCCCCCTGGCTAAGTCTGACACCACCCCATCAATCCCACGTTCCAGCAGCTTTACATACACAGGCAACTCCAGCGCAAGCTGCCCTCGCAATGCAACGTAACTCTGGCTTGCCTGTAGTAGCGCCTCTGACGGGCGTTGCTTGCGCGTGATTGGGAGGTGCAGAAGGTGCATATGCAGCGGGTGGAGAGTGTGCAGTGCACTGAGAAGCTTGAGTGGCGCAACCGATGTGCCTTTGAGGGATTGGAGAGAGGGGAGGATGTGTGCGTGGAGCTCGTGCTCGAGATCTTGTACGAGATCGACTAGTCCGGTACAGAGCGAGAGGAACGCATCGAAAGCCTCACTTTGGCCGGTCCCTAAGGCATCTGGTGAAGAAGGGGGAGAGGGATTCGAACTAGAATTGTTCAGGGACAGTTCAGGGCTGACGGTGACGCCAATGACGCCTGCAAATGCCCATCCCCACTTGACGAGCGCCCCGAACAACGTATGGAGAGTCCGAGCGTAGCCAAATGCATCCCGAGCGAGGTGGGAGAGAGTAGTGATGTGCGACTTGAGCCTACTTTCGAGGGCTACAAGAAGGGCAGCTTCAGCGTTTTCAGGGTCGGGTTCTATTTCTAAAACGTGGATGGAGCCTTTTTGTTTCGAGGATGACTTGGCGGACGAGGCAAGGGACTTTGGTGTGCGCAGAGAACGCATGCGGGAGACGGAGGCGTTCACAACGCCCACCTTGGGGATGCCGATAGATCCCATACCACCTGCTCCAGGGCCGTCTTTGGCGTGTCCAGACCCGAGGACTTCTCTGACGACTTCTACCCGCCTTCGTCCCTCATTCACAGCGCGAGCTACTTCTTCCACCTTCTGCTTCGCCTCCCTCAGTTTATCGAGCCCTTCGGTTCCTTCCCTCAGTTTCCCAAAGGCCTCGCCTATGCTCTCTGAAGTTACAACAACGAGCGGCTCGGGAGTAGCACTGATCACAGCGCCCAGCAACAACCCGTACTTTAGCAATCTTTGAACCGGCTTGATTAACAAACTCGGTAGGTCCCAAGCATGCGTGTGCGCTTCAACAAGTTCTTTGCTTTCCTTGAGCCACCGCGAGAATTGAGGCGTGAGCTGCGGTGGTGTGCTGAGGGCGTCGATGTGTGCGAGTGCGCGAGGGTGCGCGGTGATATAAGTCGTGTATGGGGGCGCAAAGAGGGGTACCTGGTTAAGCATCACTGTGAAGTTGCACCCAATATCGAGAGGGACTAAACTCACCACCTCCAGGAAAACTTCGCCCACGCCTTTGCCTCCTTCTTCAATCGCTGTCTCAAGCTTTGACACAAGCATGTCAGAAAGAACAGCTAATTCGGAAATGTTGCGGAAAATGATTCGTATGTCGGCGACAGACAGTGGGGGCTCGCCCACCGGGCGTAAGACTTGTGTTGGAACCTTGGATTCAGTCAGAGGAACTACTAAATCAGCGATTAGTAAGTTGAGCAACCACAGAGAGTCATGGAAGGACCTATTTGCGTGAATGTAGGTACATTCAATTGGATAGAAGGCACGTTGAATTGTATCGTCGGTGGGCAAAGGCCCGAGACGGACATGTCGGACGTGGAGATAGTACTGACGGTGCGTGAAGACAAGGACGAGCATGTACCTGAGCTCGACTTGGTAGATTCGGAACTTGAGCTAGACCCAGGGTTTGAAACTTCTGAACCCGAGACTGGGCGTGTACATGAGAAACCGAATGGTGGAGGGTGACCTGGGGTAGATTAGAATAATTTTCAAAGGGATTAAAGAGAAGGAAGACTCACCAGACGCCAACCTCATATATACATCCCTGATGAGTGCTAAATCGCTTGCATAGGCACGTTCAGAGGTCAGAAGTTCGAGTAGAGCATGTTGGCGTTTTGTGATGGCGGGTGCGGGCGTAGGGGGTGCTGTGGTCAGATCGTCCTCTGAGCGTCGTTGACTTGACATCGCACTCCGATCCTCTGACAGCTCAAGACGGTTATCAGTTCGTGGTCTTGATTTCGTGGGTAGGGAGAGGGGTAGAGTAGAAGGAGGGAGAGGGAGTTCCTTGTCTTTAGGGAAACGAGTAGATTGTATAATAGTATGAACCGATTCCATGGTAGGAGTATGGCCGGCGTTAGCTGTATCAGCACCGACGGAATCGGTATAAGCAGCGACGGGTCCGGTATAGTTGGTGTATAGGGCAGTAGGGAGGGTATCACCGACGAGGTGCTCTGTTTCCCTTTCTCTGTCGAATTCGTCCTCGAATTCGTCAACGACTCCAATAACGGAGTGGAGATCGGGCGTAGAGCCGAGAGCCTCTAGAAGTTGTGATAGAGATGAAAAGCTATGAGTCCGGAAGACGGGAACCATCTCTGGCTCTGGCGCTAATTGGAGCATTGGCAACATCTTTGGCAGCTGTTGGCGCGTGGCAGGAGGCGCTGTGATAGGATGTGATGATCCAAGGGTTAATCCAATCGTTGGTTTTAGCTGTGATTGCTGTAGATCTGGAGCTTCTTGCTCTCTTGATCGTCGTTTAACTTCTTCCACAATCATAGAATTACGACCAGGTCGAAGTACTGATCTTGGTGGCAGCACAGGTAGCGCAGTACTAGACACCTCCAGACGGTTTGGTTGTGGTTGGCCTTGAGTTGATGTTTGATGTAGCTGCTGGTTATTAATGGAATCGTGCCCGTTGCGTCCACCAGCCTCGAGGCTCCCAAAATCTAATTGCTCCGCCTCTGAACTTGCAATATCCGTCATTCTAATTTAGTTGCCAGCTGGCCTTGAGGCAGTTGTAGATCCGTTCAACGCTAGCTTATAACTTCGCCACGCTAAGTATAGGGCCTGGGCTGGCTGAGTTGGCTGGTACTCTCGTGTTCGCAGCCTGTCCACTGCACTTATGCTGTATCAACGTTAGCATCGACCTTCATGCTGACCATTGAAGGCGCTCGGGCGCTCGACTTGCCTATCTCAGCCTGCCTTCTTCGTGTGCCCTTCGTGTGGTTCCCTTGCCGATGCATATCACTATCTTCCAAAGTGCCGGAACGTGGTAAAAGAGAAACGAGATACAGTCAGTAATCTCGACTTCCCCACCGCTCCCTTTACTCCACTGCCAGCTCACCATTTGAAACTAGGCTTCGCTATGAGCCAAATTTGCTGGACTCCGCGAGTTGTAATCGGCGAACACCCAACAAAATCCGCTCAACAGCGCGTCACAATTCGTTCATCAAGTTTCAAACTCCGGCCATGCATGCGGCAGGCCTATCATAGGCAGGCCGTTCTACGCCGTTTGACACCGCCTGCGCACTATGTGCAGGGACGTTCGCACACGAGATACCATGCACAAGATAAGTATTGGCCTGCCTGCTCCTTGTCTGCTTTTTCCAAGGTCGCCGTGGTAATGTGTCCAAGTTTTCCCAAACCCATACTGGCATCAATCGCACACGCAATTGCCGTGGGCTATACCTCGTTGCTCTGGGGGTTGTTCGTGGTTGCGCCCGGACTGCATCCATTCATGATTACATTCTCTGTGATGTTATTGAAATACGTAGACATAAATCTTTGAATAAATGTGCCGTACCCTCGAGCAAGGGTACGGGCTTCCAACTTGCTGCTCTCTGAACCACTCCCCTGTTCTACCCGAAAGCTAACCGTTGTTGGTGATGAGGGTATGAAGCCTAGCGAACGTCAATCCAGGAACGAACTACATAAGCGTGTAGCCTCATGACCAAGCCATGATATGAAAGTTCACATCACAGTTAGCACAGGGGCATTTGTATCCAGCTATACTTTCTTGAGATCACCACTTATGTGAGTAATGAGGAAGATATGCTTAGGATGAATGTCATACATTGCCATCTCAGATCCCCTGAAACATCACCGGTGGAACCTCTTTGTTGTGCTACCGCGTAAGAAGGAAGCTCCAGTTCGCATCGTTGGGATGTGATTCCGAGTGCGCGGTCGCTCCTCAATCCTGCATTCGAGAGTCTTGAATGCTGTTGCAAACAGGAGGTAGGGGTCGTAGCGGACCCATCTTTAGAAGTATCTCGTTTACTTCAATTTAACAAGTAATTTCTTGTGCCACTGCGTGATGAAGCAGTTCGCATCGTTTGGCTATGAGGATGCAAGTCATCGCTCACCTATATCCACAGGCATCCCGTTTACTCCGAGCTGACGAGCCGGTTTCTTGTTGTAAAATTGCATCAGCCATAGCATAGAAATAAATATTTGTCGCATCAGCAAGGCCTGTTCTAAGTTGTATACGGAAACTGGACGCAAGGCATTAGACAGGTTTCCGGTGGAGGTGTGACTGTTTTATCTCTAGCCCAGTAGCATACTACAAGAGTATGAAGACTCACATGATCCACGCTACTGGTAAGATGTTCGTCGAGCTTGACATTCTTGAGTACACATACTGGGCAATCCAGGGTCAAGCGCCCAATATACGACGAGATAGCTCTGGCCTGCACTTGATTGATCTATTATGTTGAAGCTGTGGTTAGAAAAACCTGCACATTGAAATGCGTGAGCACGAGGAGCCCATGCGTCAGCGGCGTGTTCTCCCTGAGTAAGAATTCCTATCTTGAACTCAAACCCCTTAGTCCTGCCTAGAGTACCACGCTCCTAGTGGAAAATGTCAAGCGTGAGTGAAAGAAGTTTGTTCTCTATGAATCCACGACCGCCTTGGCGAATATTATACAGGAAAGGCTCAGTGTTTCGCCCTTCGATCCGGGGTATTCCGTCCACGCTCTAGGCTAAAATACAAGAATCCGCAGAAGTAAAAGACGTTTCAAGTTGTTGTCTAAAAGATCCGGCACCCCTGGGCGATTGCGCAGAAGACGCTGTCGCCAAATGTTCTGCCTTCTGATTCGATGATTACTAGAGCCTAGGACAGTCGAATACAAGGCTGGATACCATAGGCAAAGTGACTTGATGACAAGTTTGACGCTATAAAGGCCGTATTACTTATCGGAACGGCTGCGGGTCCACGTCCATAGGAGACAGCGCAATTTATTACAATGCGGATCTACGCCAGCCCACGGAACCAGTTGTCGGATACTGTTGTTTTTTTTTTTGAAAAAAAAATCATATCCATTGGTGGAAGACCCCCTTATCATCAGGAGGAGCATCTAGCAGCTAGTGAGTCGAGTGTTTTGAGTCGGGAAATTCGGCCAGGAATCTTCAGATTGCAAAATCTCAAAGGAAAAGTCGTTCTCACCTAAAAGAAGGATGGAAAGTTCAAATCAACGGTAAAAGACGTGAGGCTAGCTAGGCACCATGTGTTTGTGGTCATCCGCGGAATTTTGTGTGATGCGCAGGCGTGGAATATTTTTTTATTGACGCAAGTAGTATAAAATTGAGCTTTACCTGAAGCTTATCTGGAAGGAAAAGGGTTTCGGGGTTCTACAAACGCCTGATAATTAAATCGTCAATCCCGATGTAAACCCTGATGTTTTTTACACGGCCAGAGCGTCGCGTTTCAGGTGTATCATGTGTGCCACTGGTCGGCTCCCAGGGTATTGAGCGTTAGAACGATGCAAGGATTTTTATGACCATTCCAATTACCACATGAGAAGCGCGGTATCCCCTAACCAGGCCCATCAAAGCTTACCTGGCAGACCGCTGTACCTAAAACGGTTTCCCTTCCCATAATAATCCCTTATATGCCACACCAGATGTCGCATCATGCGAAGTTCAGAACCACACACGGATATACAACGTTTCACGGCGAGGCAACCACATGTGATGCTGTGCTGCCTTCTCGCGCTAACCTTCTAACCGACTTGATTAGCGGAATAATCCGGTCATGGTTTCAGGTGCGCAATTTTCGAGAAAAATAAAATGGGTACCTTTAAGAATCGAGGCCAGGGGGACAGGGAGGTGATTGTGCACTTGCTCACGTAGATCATGGATCTGCATCAATAGTCAATGGTTCAAGTCTCCAGCCAATCCTCAGTGGTGCGAAGCGTCAACTGTGGCAATAACAGAAAGCGATCTAGAACTGGATTACAACAAAAACAACGGTCAGTCGGTGCTTCAAATGTCCAAAACAATGCTACGTAAGAAATCTACCAGCTGACCGCAATGAGATCAAATACATATACCCCACGACGTCTTTATGGGCGCCTTTGAAGTGGGCAGATGCTCGGGATCATAATGTTAGATTTCAAACCTAGTCGCTTCGGAGCTATTTGTTGACAATGCCGAGACAAAAGGGGAATACCGACGGGAGCGGCACCTGACGTAGAAGGACAAAGCGCCGCTGAAACAGCAACAGCATCCCATGCCAGTACCCTGGATATGTGTGACCCTGTGGTTCTGTTGGCGCCACATGAAACATCATATCTTTCGAATCACCGGTAGAGAAGGACGATTGAAACTTCACTAGTGGGACGATGGACTGGATTTTTCCAGGTAAATTATAGTCCAGATGTGTTTGGTGGATACTATTGGTAGCCATGAATTATAACTGAGAGCGCGACGATGGTACCTGGACCAGTCAATCTCAACTTGAATGTTGCACAGGTGTACAGTGTGGGTATCTGGAGGTATCCATCCTTGTTAGAGGCCAAGTGATAAGACCACATGTGAACCTAGACGCTGTCTGTCGCGGTGATAGGGCCGAGGCTCTCGCTTTGGAATGCATAACTTTAAAATCAGCCTTCCAGGTTCCTACTAGCAAGGGTAAATACTTTATGGTACCGTTTCATTGCAAAAAAGTCTAACAAGAAAGAACGCCCAAGATGTTAGTGTTTTCGGTCTCTCTGTTCTAGTTGATACAGACTACTTACACTTCAAGTTCGTAGTACAAAGTACAAAATTGATCGTCACGGTGACTCACCGGCCGGTGGGATCTGAGTCGGAGATTGAAATCAACGGAAGGACTTCATTGTCAGATACTTATCCTCATAATATAATAAGTACAACACTAACTAGCTCATTGGAATAAGTATTCGCTGCCGGCACGCTGCGTTTGATTTGTTGATCCGAGTCAACCTAGTAATTACATATGCATACTAATTATTGGTTGTACATTGCAGATATTATTCATGCTTTTGCAAGTATTTCAACAAGCCAGCCAGGAATCAGGTAGCCTGACAAAGATAATTTCAATCGACCATTCCTTGCGCGCTGGTCAGGATTGTCAGCCACATTATCAAACATTTTGTGCATGAATATGCAGCATATCTTCATAACATGTAATCCCTCTCATAGTTTACAAGATGGCGCCGGCTTTTGAAATTTCCCCCTTTAATCCTCGAATACATCAGTTTCTTTTTTTTTATAATCCGATTTATGATAGAACCATATGTAGGACGGCACTTTCTAATCTATGGAACCCCCGGTATCCCTTCTTATATCTGAGATCGCGAAAGCCCTGATGTGAGGCTTACACCATCAATCCGCTATTCCCGCCGGCCGTTTTAGACGCGCGTTTCAACAAAGATGAGATGTTTCAATTTCTGCTATGAGGATGGTCAGCTTGCGGTGGATGCGTTTCTCGTCCGCTTTCGCGGAATGTTTACAGGAATCTAGGGGAGAGTATGATGACGGGGATAAATGAGTTAGTGTGTTGGCGTGTTTATTCCTCCATTCTCCTTGTCTCTTTATATCAAACATCGAGATTCCGTGTAGACGAGATATTGGGTGCGAGTTTATGTCGTTGTGGTATGGTATTGATTAGTTGTGGTCTTGAGTTTTCGATGTTCTTGATGTACAGGGTATTATATTTCGTGAGTAGAGTAGCGTGCTTTCCTGTAGCTGTGATTCAGTTCTTTCGTTTCTTGGATAGCGGGACCTCACCGAATGTGGTCTTTAGGCGATGCGTGGAGTTAACATATCTTGCTAAACGTGGGATTGCTTCGGAGTCGGTTAGGAGGTGGGGGATAGACGAGGCATCTCGTCCTAGTGCGCACTGGAGGGTGTCTTTCTCTCGCATCATGGGAGTATCAGTTTCTTTATTGGCGGTTCGCTTTGATACTGGCCGTTCCAGTATTTCGCCTTGCAGAAATGCAGATACTAGGGCTCGTGCAGTGGAATGCCGCATACTTGACATTTGCCTAGAAATGCAGCGCCAATACGCAGCCCTGCTCGTCTGAGTGTCAAGCATACCAACAAATGTTTTGTTGAGCTCAGTCGCCGAACCCCTGGAGTCGTAGAACGTGGCTTGCAGATAACTGGTCTGCATCAAGAAATACAACCTTGCAGCTGGCAGAAAAGAGGTATCAAAATTGCCGCGCCATATGCAGTGGACTGACCTTCCTGAACGTAGACACCAGCAATATCCATGACACATTTCGGGCTCCAGATTTCCCATCATATAATTGTCGAGATGTGGAGCTTGACCCATGTGAGTATCAGCAGTGAACTAGGGACCATGCAGAGGCGTATGAAGACGGTTCGCCTCGTCAGTTGACATAAACTTGAAGTTGGATATTCTGGCTGGGTGTTCTGGAGACTTCCACTCAAGTCAGTTATGAGGAGTATACACTTCGCATGAACATACTCACGGCGGTTATCTTGTTTGCGACATACCTCCAGTGCTGGAACCACTTGCTGTGCCACTGGGTGACAATAGTATTTCTGATGTGGATGTCGCAACAGTGAGGTGGTAGCCGTGGTGCACTGGGGGCTGATAAGTATCTCCACAGCCGTCCCAGTCACTCCGAACCGACAGGCAGTTTTCTCGTCACAATCTCACACCATCTAGAGGTGGCATGGGTAGACGTATCTGTCGTAGGCGAAGTTCACTGTAAGCTGCGTCGGGACAATGGCTCAACTTAGTGGTCCAGCAGAAGACGTTCGAGTTTCTAGTCGAAGTTGAATGGGGTATCTTGGCGGCCTATTTGAGTATCAGGAATCGCCATCGCCCATTTCAGCAAAAAGAGAGGCATTAGTGTCCCATCCGATGGGAGATAAGATCATTTGGGGCAATGATGGGTAAGGGAACAGGTGGACTAGTGAGACGGAGATATTTTGAGGGTGTTTGACGTTGTCAATTTCAACACTTGTCGGGACGACCACGAGCCCACGTTTACTGAGAAACTGCACAGTTCAAAAAATAGTTCGGCACCAGACCGTCAGGTTAGTTGTTGGAGACCGACAATAAGCAGGGGGGGCACTTAGAGCAGAGTGTTTGGAACCGTGTAAATTGTCTAGGAAATCCCAAGACTCCAGTCAACTGGCGACCGCATCTGGAAATCGTTGTCTCAAACTCTCACCTAGATTGAAGGTCTAATGATTCAACTGAGCAATGGAACAAAAGGCTGAAAACCCTACCGGCGTATGCTTGTTCCCTCCGCGGATTGATACGTGGTGAAGTCTTATTGACGAAAATGGTACAAAAACAAATAATACCGGCAACTAATTAGCCAGGCGGGGGGATTCAGAGTTCCGGCGTTTTGCTAACGCCTGATTATTGTGTGGCTCTCAGCCGTATAACCCTGAATTTCGCATCACGCGGCAGGAGCGTTTTCATTTTTCAACAAGAATATTCTTCCAGCGTCCGTATTAGGCTCCCAGACTGAAAGTCAGCACGACGCAATACAGAAATATGATTTTGAAATTACCAGAGAGAAGCAACTGTTCTCCGGGCCAGAAATGATCGGCCACAAAGCATGCCCCAATCGTTGTGACACCCATAAAACCAGATTGGCAGATCAGTGTGACATGCCATCTCGCCTTCACTTGCATCAGAAACGCGTATACAAACGGATATATATAACATGTCACGGCAAGGTAACGGCATGCCACTGATGCGGCCTGCTATGATGTTGCCACCAGTGTCTTCTTGAGCATTTGCTGGCTTCCGATTGGTCACATTGAATTTGCGAGTGGAAAATGCAAAGAGCACCTTCGAAAACCGAAACCGGGACGACGAGGAGATCGGAGTCGCCCTGCTCAATCTGGATCATGGCACGAAACTAAAAATGCATAATTAATGGTTAGTCTTCAGCCAATCCCCAGCAATACAAAACGTCCGCGTCAATTTTGGCAACAACAAACGCAATTCGATAAGCGATTGGAGACTACTTAGAATACGATAAAAATAACAACCCGTCAGTCCTCATATAATGTCAAAAACAATGATATGCGAGTAACGTCAAGAAAGCCGGCAGCCGACTATATTCAAAATACCTTGGCACGCTCCACGGCGCCTCCATGAAACACTTGACTGCGCAGAAGCGAATGTCAGGCTTCCTTTGGTGCCATTTTACAGTCAACGGCTAGTCGAAAGTGACGTGGTGACGGGAGTGACGACACCTGTAGAAGGACAAAGTGCCGTGGGCATAGCTGAACTAACAGCATCCCATGCATTTGGGTAGGTGCAACCTTGTACTTGCGTTGGTGCCAGACCGGTATCTCCCGAATCAAACCAGCCGTTCCCGGCGCTGACTGATGGAGAAGGACTTGGAGAGAAGGTGGGAGGCGGAAGAGTTGGAACTGCACTGGTGGACGTGTAGGTAGGGAGGAGGGACTGGATTGCTCCAACTGTAAGACCGTTGATAGGCGTTGGTGGATACTGGCCATAAGATGTGACCGAGGACGCGACGATGGTCCCAGCTCCAGGACCTCCTGTCTGATAGGCCTCATAAACACCGTCAAATTGTGGACCAGTCACTCCCAACGCCGCGCAGGTGCCTACGGCAGTGCGGGGATCGGTAGGGATCCATCCATTCTGGAGACCCAACTGATAAGACCACAGGGGAGACTGGACACTATTAGTCGTGGATGAGTTTCCGATCTGCAAGAGTCACGAGTTTGAGTGAGGATCGCGTTGACTAGCATGAATTCAAACCAACCTTCCAGGTCCAGAAAAACCAGTCCTGCAAAGCGTCCATACTAGCCAGCGTGAATTCATAAAGACCTGCCTTCATGGTGTCGTTCCATTGCGAAGAGTCTAAGAAGAGAGAGCACGACGTTCCATAGCTAGCAGTATTCCCAACGCCTGTGAGGTACAGTCCACAATCATTGTAACCACCGCTGAATTCGCCCGCGATGGTTATACCGAATGCGGTCTGACTATGGTAAAGTGAGAACGCTGTCACTCAGTGGGAAACATGCGTACCTGGTATTAATGCCAGGGCCCCATGCACTACACGCCTGTTGCGGCCAAATGCCTCCAGCGCTTAATCCAGTACCAGTCGCAATGGGCGACCAATCAGACTGACTATCGAACGCGAAGTAGGGGTGGGTGTCAAGTATGATTCGATCAGAACCTTGCAAAAAATTTGCCCAGGCTGCCGTCCCTAAAAATCCATCATGAATAGCGATGTAGGGCCCGTGCCCTTCTCCATAACCGGTGATATTGCGGATCATATCATGCGCAAGGAGATAACTTAAACGACAAGTTGGTTATTAGGACACACTAGCATATTAAGACGTACAACGATGTGATCTGGTCTGTTCCAATGGTCGAGACCAGGGCCTCATTGACGATGCTGAACACAGGGACGACATCAACCCATTCGGGCTGGGATATGAACTCGGTAATGATCCTAATATAATCGAGCGCACGCTGGGCATTGGCAAGTCCCATGACTCCATTCAAAAAGTTGATAGAGCCAGATTTGCCGGAGTGGTTGTATCCTGCATGCCGGTCTTGAGTTTCCATAACATGAGTAATGATGCACACCCTGCCACGTACCGTTCTGAGATCCGGGGATGGTATGCAGATCGAGATTTACTCTAATCCCATATTTTCGTGCCCATTGAAGGACGCGCAGGATGTAGCTAAGCGTCACCGCAATCAGAAGATGAAAAACGTTCATACAATGATTCAGCAGTACTCACGGCCAACAGACTTTCTCGAGGAAGGGTTCAAAGTCCCATTTCTCAATCGCCCAGAAAGGAATAGGCAAACGGATCCAATTCAGTCCAGCTCCAGCGATTTCGGCAATATCCTGCTCGGTCTACAAGCGTTATTCGGGCTCGAAGTTAGTAAGTGGAATGTACTTACAATAAAGGTACTGTAATGGGTCTCTATCTGTTGGAGTCCGCCGCTGGCTGTATCCGCCGCCATGAGCGTGCTCAGGGTCCACTCGTCAACTGCATCCGGATACTGCTGGTAAAGGGCGGGTGTAATGAAGGGTTCTAGAACAAAAAGTCCACCAATATTGACGCTGCACATGATCCGCGCTCCACATATGAATGTGTCTTAGATACGCGACTAAATGAAACTGACCCGTAAATCTTGTCTACTCCCCAAGTCCAGCTAGAATTAAGTGGAGGGGTCCATGAGTTAGGATAAGCGTCATTGTTGAAAGGGTCGTTTGGGTTGTCCATCCCTGTAAATAACCAGTAAGATCGAAACGTTGGCCAAGAGGTAATAGAAGATGACAACGCCGGGCAGCCCACTGGCATTTACGTTAGCAGAATATGGACCCTTCAAGCGCACAAGACATAATTCTCATTTGTGTAACATCCGTAGATGGCACTGAGAAAATACCGCAGTTCATCGCCAACGACTCAACCGCAACCATAGCTGCGAGTCATAAATGGATGATAGAGCTTACAGATGCCTCCAAAGGGATTCAAGTAAGTGAATGTCGTGCCATCAGCCATTGTGATAAGGGAGCCGTTTCCTCCGGTCGTAGTTGTTCCAGGTGGACCAGGAGATGTGGGATTGCCGCTACCTGACCCACTTGCAGAAGCTCCATTGGTACTGTAATCGTGGGGTTTGATAACAACAAAGTATACTGGGAGAACGACAGCGAGGACAACAACAATAACGACGGTAAAAGCGACGAGCCAAAATAGAGGCCGCCTAAGGATGGATCGTTTTCTCAACCCAAGTTCTGCTCTTGAATCTTGGCCGTAAGCTATGGCATCGCGTTTTTCGTTATCTTGCACCAATGGAGAGGTATTATCTGGTGATTCAGCGTACGAATCACGCGCGCTGGCAGCAGTTTCTGGGGTGGATGACAGATAAGATGCTCTGGGAGGTTCGAGGGATTGACTGAGGTTCAAAGGAGTGTTGGGCGCTGTCACAAATGGATCTGCAAGACTGTCGGGCCTCGAAGACGACATCGTGGGCAGGCAGCAGCAGAGTTCGAGAAAGAGGCGCCAAGGACTTCAAGCGATGTCCCACGCAGGGGTGCGCCATCATGAGATCTTCGGTGCTCGTGTGATGGAACCCACGTTGGAAATTTTTATAGACATGACTAGACGTGACGGCGCTGATGATCTGATCCGTTTCCGGTGTGGCGACTTTTGGTCACCACTGCAAGCGATGCACTTTCCTATTTATGCAAATTTCAGTCAAGTTCGTCGATATGAAGAACTTATCGGTACTGATACTGTGGTGACAATGAGAGTTTTTTTATCTTCGACAAGTCATTATCTCACCTTTTCCAAATTCCCACTGCCTGCCATGTCTTGGTTCTTGTCACGTGTTCCGAGAATCCGAGATGCCCGATGCAACGAGAGGGCAACGAAGTTAATACGCACCTGGAAGGGCCTCACAAAGCATGCTGCGGTAGCTTGAGGGAAAGGTTCGATCATGCCACTACAGCACAGCGTATCTTACCTGAACACTTAGCGCTCTAGATGTGATTTGAGTCCGAATCGAAATTCAATTTATACTTTGTGGCCTATTCTACAGATAACACCTTTTTTGAAATTAATTGTGAACTGGGAATCAGGTTCTTAATTATGAATATACTATGCTATCGCTAGAGCCTTCCGCAATCAGAACATAGACTAGAAGGAAGACAACTGTTCCTTTTATATTATGGATTGGCGCCGAGTCGGTGTATGCTCGCAGGCCTATGTGGGCCATCAAAAAACAATTTGGTCGATTGACGAAGCTGCCTGGCGCCCAACCCAACAAGATTCTATAGGGTTCGTCGAGCGTACTTTATATATTGTAGAATTTGGAACAAATATCTATTGGCTTTCGTACGACCTTCAATTTACCAAACAAGCACTATCGGTCGTAACTTTTTCATGAAAGCCGCCTTACGAGAACTAGAAAATGAAAACTTCTGTCCCCGTTGAATTTTTTGACAATTCGAGCGGCTTTTCTAGCCCTCGACGTGGTCGAGGGCGTCAGGCGAACGATTGCAGGGTCCGATGCTCGAAGCTTTGGCAATAAACACATGTCTTGCGTCTGTGGAGCATGCCGCAATTATGTGGCTACTCGTATCATTGAACTCTAGCCGAATTTCATTCAGAGCTTGAAGCCGAGCTCTCAGGAATGGCAAGAAGTATTTCTCCTACGCCCTCCGGCAACAGGCCCTCACAACAAGCCGGAAAGAAGAAAAGAACAACCTCTGGCGTAAAATCCGCGATCCGCACGTAGGGATATTGAGGAAAACCATGACTGACAGTACTTAGTATGAGGCTGACCCCCTGAGCGCCATGAAGCCTGAGAAACGGTAGACTAATGAATTCCTTCCGATGTCATTGTGGGCGCAAGGTACTCGGGGTGGTCTTCTGGAAAGAGATATAGATAAATAATCACGTTTAAAATGTTTTTGACGCCTCATGTTTTTTGTACGACAGTTGGTCAGAAGACAATAGACGAACCCTGTAGCCCAACGTCATACAAGGTATCGGATCGGCGTAGGCGTAGTAGCCTATTCCTAATAAGCTGGTCTGGATTACGAGAAGAGGTGAGGCCTTATGACTTCGATTACATGAGTCCAAAGTCAAACCCAAGTTGGGGAAATGAAAGGACTCGGAATTCCCCGAGTCCGGGGTGTTTGCATCGCCGGAAGGTGGAGGAGATCTGATCAACTGAATGCGCCATATTTCTGGGACTTAATGAGCCCGCTCCCTACTAGCAGCTTCTCCGTCATATTCTTTCAGGCATGGCAGTGAGTCTTAGTGTCTTTTTACACATGAATGACACATGTAGTACAGTGTCGCCCGGTAAGTGCACGTTCTAGGTTCAAACATTTCAATGCTCCAACATATGGAGGCGAATTCCCGCGCGGCACCGCCCTTTTGTCCGGGCGCCACAAACCAATACGGGCGATACGCGCCAAATACCGTACTTCTCAAGAGTATGTCACCCCCTCGGAAACCTTGCGCACCAATCACGCACGGCCGTAGTGTGATCAAAGGGGTTAGATCTATCCTGGCGTGTACCCGCCGCAGGTTACACTAATATCAAAGCTGATACTTTGTTAATTATACCACTGTGCATCCGGGAAACTTACAGCCATGTTTGCCGTCCCCACCCCCGCAACCTTATATTAATCCGCCACTGTTTAACGTGTTTCTGAATCATCTGGTACTTTGACGATCAATCACCCTCAATGTTGCATTATCCTGTACCCATCACCCATGCCTCGCGCGACGGCACCCTCCACGCTCACACAACGCGTTCTGATCGCTCCACATCGCCATCCACTGGCAGCACCACAAGTTCATCATGTGCCAGTGGTTCCAGTCCTCCTTGGCTAATGTCGCCGAGTCAAAATACGGAAGATCTTTTTCGGACAATCTTGAATATCAGAAAAAGCTGGAAAACGCTCAAGGGCAACACCGAGCCTGTATGGCCACCTTATCTCGAAGTCACGATGCTGAAAGGTGCGGATCACATATGTTGATCACAGCCTTGGCTCATATAATTGTTCCAGGTCTTCATGAATACAAGCCAGTTGACTCACGGGAAACGCAAATTTTAGGACGATTCCCTATGCGCAATCGCTTCATCTCGGAGTACATTTACCACAAAACGGGAAAATATAGATCATCAAAGCAAATTGGCAGTCGACTACAACAAATCAGGGACACATCCGAGGGGCGGGAATGTGAGTTTCCATCCTATGGCTGTTTGTGCGTTCTTTGCGGCATCATTATATTAATTTATTCTTCTTTTTTGGATATTTTTGGCAGTGATCGATTCTCTCGCCCGAGAAGTCGGCTCGTCACGGAGGTTTTCTCCTCATAATTATGTTTTTGAGGGTGAATCCATGCTTGCGCTTGACTATTTATCTATCGACTCTTCAGGAAGCGATGCCTCATCTGCCTCCTCGTCCGCCGGTTCCACATCCTCTACAGAGTACACTGCCATGCCGTCCTCTAAACAACGCAACCCTCCTGACACCCGTACTCCAGTCTACATTGACATTTTGCGAGAGGCTAGCTCATTCTCGAGCTCCTCACGTTCGCGCGTCCCATCGTCTTCTTCATACAAGCCCCCTCAGGGTGTAGCTGCATCCCAACCCTCCTCGAACACACCACGTCGCATGCGGGACATCGATCCCACCGTAACCTTCGTCTCGCCCTCTGCTGTCATTGGCAAGTCGTCCTATATAATATTATTGGATGGCGCACCCATACACAGCGAGGACACGAAGCTCGAATGTGTTGGTCCATATTTCACCGGTTCTTCCGGTAATGGTCCGTTGCTCTACAGCACACCTCTAGTTCCCAAGTACTGGGAAACCTTGTGCAAATCGCCAGGTACGTCGTGTCTGAATTTCACATCCAATGGGAATCTAATTTTTCGCCCCGAGACCCCACTGTATACACCATTATTCAGGATGTGTACCGTGCTCCGGACCTACCGACTCCTACAAGGTACTCAGATCGCCCACGCCCTGTTCTCATATTCTCTGCTATATACCACTTCCGATACTCGGCATCTGCATGCGCGGCCCCACCTTCCATCTCACCACATTTTGCATACCAAGCCAATCCAGCATCTCTCACAAACAACACTCGTGCTTATCCCGACTCGCTCAACCCCATCCGCACGCTCCCATCTCAAAACTACGCTATGTCTCCGAGCCTCTCGGACTCAGGGATGTTTCAATCGCACGAATACAGCACGCAAAACCAGCTGGTTGAGCCATTCATGTTGGACGTTAGCATGGATAACTTTTCCCTCGATGACTTCATGATCAACATTCATGACTCGCCTGAGGCGACATCAAACAACCTGATGGCACAGTCGTCATCATCAAGCTTCCCGAAGGATATCCGCAATTATGTGAGTGCACTTACCCGATTAAGAGGTCCGCTGCTCACATTTCCATCAGATCATGTAAAAACATTGTACATATAATCGTAATATTGGCATGTACTGTCGATGGACCCGGATGCTTCCAGGCTGGAGTTTCATTTCTGCAGGTCCCTTGGCATTTACTTGACTGAGAACGGAGATGATCATTGATGTCGCGTTTTGTTGGCTTCTGCGGGCAACTCATGCCGCGCTTATATATTGTCATGATAGTCATCTGATATGAAGTAGGTTTGTCATTATGACAGATATGTATAACTAGCAGGTCTTCGAAGCTCCTCGTACTCTTCTGATTGACGTTGCGATCCGTCGGGTGCATTGCACATTGCAACCCCATTTAATCACTAAATGAAAACACTTAACCAAGAAAGATTGCGAATGACAGATATCATAACCATCCGATAATGCCCGATGTCATGATTCTAGACTAGTGCATATCTGCAAAGCGGCGGAAAACAAAGCTACAACGAAGCATCCTGACTGACCAATTTTCCCATTGTCTAAAAGTGCGAATAAAATTCCAAGAGCATCAAATGAACTTTGAGCTCCACAGCGCTTCTCCCTGTCTCGCTTCATCACTGCCTGCGCCATGGATCTTCGTGTTTACTGGAATTATCGAAGAAGCAGAGCAGCGGGCGTAAACGGACCACCTCGAATGAATTCTAGAGTTTCAACTCACCGCTCTTTAACAGCGAGATGATCTGTATTCTCGCCGCAAATTCTCTTGTCATCAGGGTAACGTCGGTCAACTGATTGATGCCCCTGGTAATTCCCCGTCCAACTTGGTCCTTCCGAGAACCGCCCTTTGCTCCGGTAGACGCGTTGCTTATCTTGCCGTGTGCATCACCAAGTGCGTCAACCCACGTGCGCATAGCCATAGCTCCCGCCATCCCCTCCCACTTGCTCATCTCGAGGGTCATGTTCGTGATGCCAGCGACGATAACAGCCACTTCATGCTCTATGTTTCGTGCTGCATCTAATCCCACTTTCAAATCAGGGAAGTGCTCGTGGATTCTGGCAATAATAGGTTGATAGGCGACGCCATCGCCGGCTTGCCTGCCCACAGTACCCCCAATGAGCCAGGGCTTTGCCTGATCAACGGCGCTATAGATATCTGCACGAAGTGTTGGGGAGATGGACTTCTTGGCGTCTCCCTTGGCCCCGCTAGCGCTTGCTGCTGCTGCGAGGGTGCTAGAAAGGCTGCTGAACATGATAAAGTTATGGTGTTGGCTGATGCGCTGTGAATGTTCTGCTATTCTTGTGATAGCCTAAGCCTTTGTTACAGGACTTGCGAGGGACTGATTGAAAGGCGTGCGTCTACTATGCTGCGCCTGATGCTGAGAGAAATCCAAGTATGTAAACGAAGATGCCGTATGCCTCGTTGGCCTGAACACATGGGAAACACGAGGTGATGGGGGAGCGAGGTAAGAGTCCCATGATGGCGATCGAAAGAGGAAGTCAGATGGTGAACATCCATTTTGGGACCATTTCTTTCAAGGGTGGACAAGTCCACGATTGGACGCGCGGCTTACCTGAAAAGTTCCTGTGCGATCTTGATGTTAAATGCTAATTGTGATCAGGGGTACCTGAGCTTGGAAAATGAAATGATTGTGCGTGCACCTGCCAAGATAAGGGCGTGATGATGGCGCATTTACGGAGGACACGGCTATGAGGAGTAGCCCAACCGGTGCATCCTCGTGTATGATAATATTTGTATGTCTGAACTCGATGTTATCTGTTGCCGTGACTATATATTTGTTTACGCACATTAATGGAGTCACCGTATTAACCATGGCTTGTTAGCGGGTGGATGTAATTTGCGGAGAAACAGCCCATGAGGGCATTGCGATGACTTGCAGTGACTCATATTGAGCACATCGTGGTGTTACAAGATGTCTGGATGGGTTTCTGCAAGTTAGGTAATGTTACGCTCGGCGTTCGTAAGAACGGCTAAACGGTCACAAAGAGTCTAAAGCGTACACCTATGTACAAGTCGTGCGAGTTAAGCAGTATATTGCAGGCCCTGGTCTGCGTAGGTCAAGTTAAAGAATACAAGCGTAAGAGATAGAGTATATATAAGGGAATTAAAGCGGAGCTTTAATAAATGAATCGGAGATGGAAAGTAAATAGCGAATCAGAAAAAGAAAAGAGGATCATACGATGGAATATGATAGAATGTTCTGTGAATATGTGATAATGTGAATAAGTGAAGAGGTGAAAGGAAAAAGAGTGAAACTGTAACATTACCCCCGTTGTAAGGGTAGTAGGCACCGACTACTATCAAAGAAGACGATGCGATCGTTTATAATTAGTGAGAAGTTCGGAAGCGTTACCTAGTTCGGCTTCCTTCATCCATTCGTTCTCGGAACTCGGGAATCCCTTCCACTTTACATAATATTGTCGTCTAGTTGAAGATCCGCAGTGTCCGATGACCGCTTCAACTTCGTGTTCTTCTTTGCCGTCAATCAAGTCGGGATGAGGCGGAATATAATTAGGGCCGTGGGTATCGTTCTCTTTATAAGGAGAAAGGAGTGCGGCGTGGAATACAGGATGAATACGCCATTGTGATGGTAGTGCGAGTCGATAAGTGATAGGGGATAGGACGTCGGTAATAATGAACGGTCCCTCGCGTTTTGGCGCAAGTTTCCGATTAGGGTATCCGAGGTGTAGGTTCTTGGCTTCAAGCCAGACTTTATCGCCTTTAGAGAATGGTACGAATTTGGACGTAATTCGTTGACGCATGGTGTTTCGTGCAAGTTCGTGGGCGGCTAGCGCTTCGTCACGTGCTTTATTAAGCATTAAGAGTTGTTGTTCAATATTAGGGATGTCGGATTTCGGATGGGAGTCAGGAAGATGGCGTGGGTGATAACCCATCATAAGATAAAAGGGGGAGGTTCCACGTGCTGAGTGGTGGCGCGAATTATGAACAAATTCGGCGAGTGGTAACATGGGCGCCCAACCGGTCTGGTCATTAGCGCAGAAGATCCGGAGATAGACTTCGAGTTCTTGGTTTACTCGTTCGGTCTCTCCATCACTCTGGGGATGGAATGTGGTGGAAAGGGAGTTCTTGTATCCGAGGAGTTTTCCGAGTTCGACCTGGAATCTAGAAGCGAACTGAGGTCCGCGGTCAGAGATAATTTTATCGTAAAGTCCGTATCTAGAAAAAACTTTAGAAAAGAAAATGTTCGCGACGCCTTCAGCGTCGATAGTCTTTAGACAAGGGGTGAAAATTACCCCCTTCGAAAGTCCGTGGTCGACCACGACCATGATGCTGTCAAAGCCGTCGGAGAGAGGGAGATCCGTGATCAGATCTACTGATACGTGGGCGAAGGGTCGATTAGAGATAGGGGCCGGTATAGGAAATAGCGGTGGGGTAGAAGGGTGCGTGTTTACTTTATTCTGTTGGCAGATGCAACAGCCTTCTACGAAGTTCTTGACAAAAGTGGCTAGTCCTGGCCACCAATAGTCGCGAGAGAGGAGTTCCTGGGTTTTGAAACGTCCAGGGTGTCCGGCGGTAGGGGAATCGTGATGTAGGGAAGTAAGTTCTCGACGGAGATCTCCGGGGGGTACGTAAGTGAGTCCTTTAAACGAAAGAATTCCGTCGCTCAATTTCCAATCGGAAAGAGCGGATCGGAGCGGAGGGGGAATCGAAGAGTCTGTGAGCGCTTGAAGCGCAGTATGTACTACGGGGTCAATAGAAGATGATATACGTAATCTGTCCGTAAAAGAAGTGTCAATGACGTTAATGAACATTGAATCTGGGAGGAGTTGGATACTAATATTGTCCTTTTCGTCGTTATCGACTGGAAGGTGATCCGTTCTACGAGATAACAAATCGGGAATAATAAGATCTTTGCCGGGTACGTGTTGGATTTGGAGTTCGAATTGGGAAAGGAAAGTTTGCCATCTTGCTTGGCGTCGGTTCAAATCTTGTACGTCCCTGAAATAAGTAAGATTCTTATGGTCAGTTTGTACGGTTACAGGATAGGGAGAACCAAGGAGATAGTGTCTCCATGCTTTCAAAGCGCGGACGATTGCAAGTAACTCCCGGTCGTATATCTGATAATTACGTTCAGCTGGGTTAAAGGATTGTGACAAAAAGGAACATGGGAGCCAATCTCCGTTATCATTCTTTTGGAGAAGTACCGCTCCGGTAGCATAAAGCGATGCGTCGGTAGCAATCGCGAATGGGGAATTCTTGTCGGGTATCTGAAGGATGGGTGAAGAGGTGAAAATACGTTTCAGCTTATTAAAAGCTTCTTCGCGTTTGAAGGTCCAAATGAATTCTTCGTCCTTTTTGGTGAGATCGATTAAGGGTCTAGCAATTGATGAATAGTCAGCAATAAACCGTCGATAAAAGTTAGCGAATCCAAGGAATGATCGGACTTCCTTCACTTTCGTGGGAGTCTTCCATTCGGATATTCCTTTTAATTTCGCAGGATCCATGGCGATAGAACCAGGTTTGATGATCATGCCGAGATATTCGATTTCGGTTACGTTGAAGGTGCATTTTTCGGGTTTTAGATGGAGGAGATTATCGCGGAGTCGTTGAAGTACTTTGTGAGTATGGATACGGTGGGTTTCGTCGTCTTTGGAAAAGATTAGTATATCGTCCATGTATATAATAATCCACCCCTCCTGTATCATATCTCCGAACAGATCGTTCATCATAGATTGAAAGGTAGCGGGTGAGTTACACATTCCGAAGAACATGACCGTGGGTTCGAAGAGTCCCCTGGAAGTGGCGAAGGCCGCCTTCCATTGATCAGTTTTTCTCATACATACGTTATTATATCCCCATCGAATGTCCATCTTGGTAAATATCTTGGCGTCCTTTAGCTTATCTATGAGATCTGAGATTAGCGGTAAAGGGTAGTTATTTTTAACCGTGTGTTCATTCAAGTAACGATAATCCTGGCAGGGTCGGAGGGAGCCGTCTTTCTTCCCGACGAAGAAGAATGGTGAAGATTGGGGGGATTCGGAGGGAACGATCGTTCCTTTAGCTAGATGTTCGTCAATAAAATCGTTCATTGCCTTATCTTCTTTGGCATTAAGCGGATAGATTTTGCATTTCCGCGGTTCGAAAGATTCTTTGAGGTCGATCTTATGGTCGTATTTGCGTTCTGGGGGTAGAGTACCGTTAGCTACGTCACCAAATACATCTTTGTACTGTCGGAACTCTTCGGGTACGAGTTCTTCAAAGGTTTTCTTTGGTTTGGCGGCGTCCTGGGCAAGTGTCTGTGAAATGTTGTCAGCTTTTCGGATATAGGTATAAAAATCGTCATCATCATTGATGGGATCTAAGAGGTGTGGGAGAGTTTCGTTAGCGGGGTCCCATTCCAGTTCTAAATCTTCCAAAGCGTCGTAAAAGACGTCTTCTTCTTCGATTTCTTCGATCGTTGCTTTCTTTAGGGTACGCTCCCTTAAGCGGACTTCTTGGTTAGTCCAATCGATATCTGGGTTTTCTTTCTTTAGCCAAGTCATTCCCAGGATAGCGTCTTCTCCTCCTAGAGAGGTTACAAAGAATCGCTTCCTCATGGGGATATCTTTGATTAAAAAGGAAAGTTCACAGTACCGTGTGATTCTTCTGGCTTTGTTTAACGTGCCGTCTACGTTACGCACAGGTATCGGGGTTTCGAGTTTGTGCGTGCGAATATTCTCTTTGAGTATGAACTTCTCGTCGATAAATTCGCCTTCTGCGCCACAGTCGATTAAGGCGGCGGCTACGGTGGTTTTTTCGGTTTTCTTTGATCTAATGGTGAGCGGCAAACGAATAGAATTAGCGTCTCCAATAGATTGTACTAATAGTCCGATTCTGGGAGTTTCTGACACCGTGGCAGGCTCCCCTAGGCAAAATCCTCCTCATCGCTACTCTCTTCTTTCTTAACCGGTTTCTTACCAGTCTTCTTCATCTGGCGTGCTTTAAACGCCTTCCACTCTTGGAATTCCTTGTAGTCGTCGTCAGATGACTCCTTGACTACCTTTCTAGTATTGGTCGTAACCGTGGGGTGGTTAGGGCAATCTGCGGCTAAGCCCTTCTTACCGCATTTGAAGCAGAGGCCGCCCTTGTGCCTGCGCTCCCGTTCTTGAGGAGTTAAGTACGTCTTCCTCGTCTTCTTCTCACCTTCTTCGTCATCAACTTCTACTTTATCTATATCCATAGCGTAGGGATCTTTCGCTTTGGAATAGGAAGGAGGTGCTATTAAGGTCC